GGAACTGCGGGAGCATCGATTTTCTCCTTTGTAAAACCATGTTGGTAAGTGTTCGGTGATATTTTTGGATAGCGAACGCTGGGTACGGCCGACATACCTGGCTCCACACGAGCAGGTGAATTGGTAGATGCACATTGATGAGGCCAGCAGTGGTAGCTTATCCTTCACGTTCACTTGAATCATAGGTTTTGTGGAGAAGGTTAGTTGTAGTTCAACTGCGAAGACGGTCTTCTTAAGTGAGCGCGACAGTCAATTTTTTAGTGTTTCCGCAGATATATCTCCATTGAAATGAAGGTTCATGTAGAGTAGTTTTTTCGGGAAGCTATGCATAGGCGGCTTTTGTGGTCTAGGATTCATAGATTTTGCAATAAATCTTTCTGGATAACAATCCTTGACGATGATTCCCTTGAGATTGTCCAGTTCATCTTCTATGATGTCCGGGGTGCAAATTCTGCTAACTCTGTAGCTGAGTGAACGGATCAGGTTTTGTTTAGTGTATAGCGGTACCCAAATGTGAAAGTTAGTAAGCTGTCCGTTCCACGTCGACTTTCTGTAGATAGATCTTTTCAGTGTTCCATCCTGTTCTCTTCTTGTTAGTTGGACGTCAAGAAAGGCTATTTTGGAGTTGAAGTTCGCAGAATTTGCACTTTGGCCTCAGTTAACTCTTTTCAAAACTAATCTTATGTCAGTTAACACTGCTTGATGAGGAAGGCGGTCCCTCATCATGTGTAACACATGTCCTGCCTATTTCGTTAGATCTAGCTTCACAGCCTCATCCACTGACTATCCCTCCTTATCTAACACTCGACACCTGACCACAGTATTACTGATTAATAGGAAGTTAGATTATCAACTGAAATCATTTGGAGAACCACTGGAAACCGCCAAGGAATACTGGATGGCTGTTCCATTCTATATTGGGACTCTTTGTCAGTAAACACGCACACACACTACTCCTCAGCTGAGGATTAAACCAACGACCTTTAGGTCACAAGACTATTCAGCCAATGACTAGCTAATCACTTCTAATTTCTGTCATTTCATGATGTGCAGCTCCATAGGTAGACAATGTTTTGTCGCCGAATGTCTATCCCCATACCCTATTTGGTGGACACCATTGGTTCTGACTTATCACTAAGAGCTCCAGGCACTTTATTTTGTGGAAAAAACACGGAGTTCAGCGAAGAGGCTCTTTCTGGCAAACTTATTTCTTCGTTTAGCCGCAAAATCGCATTCATGTATAACTTTTTCATGAAAGAGGGTAGTAACAAAAGTCATGAGTTGTCACAAACATAGCTGTTGTTATTAGTCAGTGTATGAAAGAAGTTGAATAAATGTATTGGAGCTACGCAATAAGATGAATAATTTAATGAGTGAGTGGTAATCAGGATGCACATAGAAAAGAAAGGAAAATATGGAGTTATGAAACAGTAGTAAAGAAGTACAAGAGTTAGAAAAACAAACAAACAAACAAAATCAAGTCAGTAGAAATCAGTAAGCTTGTTACCATGATAGTAGGAGTTTATTATTGTTCCCTTGAATTCCTAGTGGAAAATAGGGCTTCAACTGCACGTCTCCATTTGCTTCTGTCTTCTGCTGAACTTTTCACTTGCATCCATGTTAGTCCATACTGTTTCAACCCTTCTTCACACGATCTCCTCCATGTCACCCTTGCACGTCCCACTCGGCACTCCCCTTTCGGGTTCCACTCGAGCATTGGCCTGACGCGCGATGTCATTCAGTGGCCTCCTCAGCCACGAGTGTCCAATCCACCTCCACTTTCTCCTGCATATTTGTTGAGCGATTGGTTCCTGTTTCGTTTGTTCCCATAGCTTCTTGTTTGTGATTCTTTCCGGCGGCCATCTGATCTTCAGTATAGAACGAAGACAGCTGTTGATAAAGGTCTGCAACAGGCTGTTGGAAATATTCTGTGTGACCCGCCAAGTTTCTGATCCATCCGTATAGAAGAACTGACTGACTTGACGTTTGTATTGAAAATCCGAATTTTGTTGTTGATGCAGGCTGAGTGACGAAGATTTCCAGATTGGTTTCAGTTTGATGAATGTGTTTCTCGCCTTCCCGATTCTCGATTTGACATCCTCGTTCGCTCCTCTTGTAGTTGAGACAATGCTCCCTAGATAGGTGAATGAAGTAACCTCTTTCAAATCCCTCCCGTTGATGGTGATTGGCGCTGGATGTTATTGCTGCTGCTGTTGTTGTTGTTGGTTGGTTGGTTATTTTCATAACCTCCGTGTTGTCTATGTTCACCTGGAGTCCTGTCTTCACCGCCTGCTTCTTCGACCAGTTTGTCGGTCAGGTTTCGCTTGTCAGTCTTCGATTTTATGTAACATCAAACATAAATCATCCGCGCGCGAAATCCAGGTCTTCTAGATTCCTCACTTCTGTCAGGACAGGATATTCCTGTCTTCTCGTTTCCCACTGTCTGACGCATAATCCAGAGCATAATGATAGTAGGAGTGGTTGAATAATTTTCTTTTTTAAAGCACAGCCCCGGGTTTTCTTACCGAATGGCTAAAGCTTCAACACTGCCAAGAAGATGACAGTGTATTGTCTTTGGAAGGTAATTCTTCACTTTGTAGATTACTTTGAAGAAGGACTTTGTTGAGATGGAATGACCAGTGTTGACAAGGTGTTCAGGTATCTCATTCCTTATAGAGCCACTGCTGCCTTTCTGCAACCATGTAGGATAGTATCCCTGAAGCCTTTCAGACAGGATATACGTTTAATGATCAATGTACCTGGCTCCGCAGTAACAGGTTCGCACATAAGTGATCAGACGCGAGATCTCGTCGTTAGGACTTCTGCAGATCAATGGACGACTGCAGGACACCACTCGTAGCGTTGCCGAGAAAAATGTTCTTCTCTTAAAAATATTGCAGGCTGAGTCTCTCTTCAAATCAAGGTTCATGTAAAGTTTCTCTTTTATATACAAGTAATGTTTCGTTCCTTTCGGTTTGTTATTCTTGTCTATGAGTTTTGGTGAATATCTATTTTGAATGAGGGTTTCTTTCAGGGGATTTAGTTCTGCTACTAGGGTGTCAGGACTACGGTTGCGTCACGTCCGAGTAGCAAGGGATTTAATTAGGTTCCATTTTCGTTCAACAGGTACCTGACTGTGAAAGCTTGCTAGTTGACCGTTCCAAATGGGTTTCTTATGGACCAACCTCCCTAAGGTTCCTTCAGGTCGTCTTGGATTCGTTCTACATTTTGAGAGTGAATTTTATCGCAGGATCTCAGTTGTTAAGTACTTGTAGCAGTTGACTGGGGTCGTAACGATTACCGTAAATGATAAAGATGCCATCTAGGCACTTTGTAGATTGCAAGTGGTCAACTTGAATGGAGCGTCCTCGATACTAATCATGAGCATTCGATTGATTTTCAAGTGTTGATTTGCAAGGATTTAATTGATTCCATATTACACTACGAAATGGTAATATTTATAGAATCACTAAAGCCCAAAGAGTGCTAAATATATGTTTTACCTCAATTTAGGACTCTTCATCAGTATGCAACAATCACCTGTTCACCAAGAATCGAACCCAGTACCTTCAGATTACAAGGCGAGTCAGTTGACAGTTTGTCTTCTGGGACGAAACCAATGCCACTTGGCAACACATACCAGCACCGCCAGCTATCCAACACTCCCCGGTGGTTTTCAACGTTTCTATAACTGAAACCATTTCATGAGCCAACCTGAAATCTTATAGTGAATTTCATCAAACAATTTGATGCCTTATATAGTCAGTAAGGATTCGAATTATGTAAATTTTAAATAAGCAGTACAACTGTTATTGTTATGACGGAGTGTTACTTACGTGTGGTTTTCGCCTGACTTGACTAGAATGGGCCTCTAGACATGACACTATAACCAAGTGATCACTTAAAATCACCCTCTTCCTCCTCTAACACTGAGAAAGAAAAAAAAGTCAGACTCGGAACAGAGACGACGGGCATGACAACAACAACAAGACGTTCATCTGACAAAATACGCGGTACATCATATTTACAAAACCTCAAGAATTTAAGCCACAAATAAATAAACATGTAACGATAGAAGACAAGGGCCAGGCAACAGATCGTTTACTGAGGAAATCAATAGATATTTATAGATTTTTATGTACATTATTATTCATTATTACAAGCAAAGAAACAGCGTCTTCTGATTGGTCGTTCTCTAGCTGATAGTTAATCTGTCATCTCTTTGTGGCCATTTATTTGAAGGTCATACCATAAATATGCTAGTCGTACACCGCCCACGCAAAGTCTTTGTTCTTGATTTTTTTCTCATGACCAAGATTTGGGAAGTAAACATTGACGTAAATTGCTGTCTACCAACTTTGGCTAGCAGACAGCTCTCACCACAAACATATCTGATTGGTTGTGTGACATCTAAATCCCTCAGAAAATAAAGCCAAGAATAAACGAATCAAAAACTGCATGACCAGACAACAAAGAAGCTTGTCTGTTGTAACAGTTATTTAGATCAAATGGAAGCGTGAATTTTGTCTGCAGACAAAAATGTATCTATAATTCTACGCAAAACAACTAATACATTTGAAGTACGTCAATTGACACACCAATTAGAAAACCACCTATAATAAAAACTGGATAGTTGTTTCGTCCTTGTTTGGGACTCTTCAGTAATATTCATGTAAGACCCCTCTGCCGGAGATCGAAATCTGGGCACTGAAAATTGCAAGACTATCCCGTTGACCATTCATCCATTAAGAGAGAATCGAATGACTCAATCAATCCTAATTTCTGCCACCTTCAGATGAAGAGTCCCCAACAAGTACGAAACGCTTGTTCAATATTCTCTAATATTGTTTAATGTTTCTTTAAACTGGCATCAATTCATGAGCTAACTTGAAATCCTGCGTTTTTTGATAACTAACATATGGTATCATCTTTACTTCTTTTTTTTTCCGGTTTATTTCATCTTCCTGCTGATCACATCCACTCTGTTGCTCGAATCAAAGGAAGAAGAAAAAGCAGTTGAGAATCCTGATGTAATTGAAAGTGAAGCATAGTAAAATCACATTTCAGTCAGTCTCTTTCGCCTTCAAACACTCACTGTCTAACACATTTAACAATCATGGCCAATGGACGGAAGCCTAGTATTGATTATCAATAATGATGACTTTGATGAATTCAGAACTTTAGAATTTATTCTAAATTCGCCTAAAAAAATATGAAGCGAAAAGTAAAAAGTTCAAAGTTATTAAAATAATTATTTTATTTCAATAATTTTATGTTGTTCTTCTTCTTTCGGCTGCCTCTGCTCTGCTGCTGCTGCTGCTGTTGATGCTTGTTCTGTTTTTATTTCCCTTTTTCTTGCCCATCCTTCTATTTTTCTTTTGTCTTCTAAAAGTAGTTTTTAGTTAAAATAAATATTTCTAAAATGTTTTTTAACTTCAAGAAACGTTTTAAACGATTTAAAGAATTTTATGACGTTCAACTTTTGTGTGTGTGTTCGTAATGGTTCATTCCGCCTCCATTTTCTTTGCCATATTTGTTGGGCAATGGATTGTTGATTGATTCGTTCGTTATCAGAGTTCCTTGTTGCTAATTCTTTTTTAGCCGGCTGTCTGATCTTCAGTATGCAGCCAGCGAAATGGGTAGGCTATTGGTAGGAGTTTGTAGTCGCCTGTCGGAAGCACTGACCGACTTGATATTGCTGTTGAAAATACTGACCTTGTTCTTTGTACTGAGTGGATTAGTTTCCCAGACTGACTTTAGATTGTGCTTATCAATGAGACGATATTGCCTAGATCGGTGAAAGGGGTCACCTTCCGTAAATTCCTCCTGGTGATAACGATTGTTGATTGAAGAATGCTATGATAGAGGTGATTTGGAAACTACTTCGCTAATACGGGGTGCCACCGACAATTATACATCTCATCCAACAGTTGTACGACAATGCTGCATGCCAAGTAATCCACAACGGGAAAATTACGGAACCCTTCGAAGTGAGGACAGGAGTAAGACAAGCTGGCTGCCTACTATCGCTAATGATTTTCCTGATTGCAGTAGATTGGATAATGCGACAGACAGCGGGACGGGCAATGAGGAAACAGGCATAAAATGGACCCACACAAAAACTTGGAGGATCTGGACTTCGCCGATAGCATACATATGTTTGATTTCCCACAAACTGGAAGATATGCAAGTGATGAAAAGCAACAAGTTAGCAGAAGAAGCATCAAAGATAGGCCTTCAGGTGAACATAGAGACAATATAGGTGATGACCAAGTTTCCTGGCCAACACCACCAACAGCAACAACAACAGACAACAATCAGCATAAATGGGAGGAACCTGAAAGAAACAACCTCTTTTACCTACCTACCTGGGAAGCATCGTTTCAACTACAGGAGGACGGAACTAATGAGGATATCGAAGCAAGAATCGGAAAGGCAAGACAAGCTTTCACTACTCTCAAGTCTGTGTGGAGGAGGTCAACAGCACTCAGCATGAAAATGAAAATAAGATCCGGATTTTCAACTCCAATGTGAAGTCAGTGCTACTATACGGATCAGAGACTTGCACTGCGCGTCATAAAGAGCATCTCAAACAAACTACAGACCTTCATTAACGGTTGTCTTCGCTCAATACTACTCAAGATCAGATGGCTGGTCAGAAAAGATCAACAACAGGAGGGATCTCTGGCAATGAGCGAACCAACTCAGCAGGAACCGATTGTGAAACAAATAGGCAGGAAGAAATGGAGATGGATTGGCTGGCCATACTCTGAGGAAACCATCAAGTGACATCACTAGACAAGCCATTGCTCGAGTGGAACCCGAAAGGGAAGCGGCGAGTTTGTCGTCAGTGCAGTAGGGTGACTTGGAGGAGGTCATGTGAAGAGGAGATGAAAGCGTGTGGGCAGACTTGGAGCCAGGTGAAGACTCTAGCAGAGAACCGAACGCAATGGAGACGCATGGCTGAAGCCCTATGTTCCTGTAGGAATTAAAGGATACAATAATAATAATAATAATAATAATGATAGATAGCAATCACCCTAAAAATATATCGCAAATTGGTAAAGATTGAATTCATGAGCCATTCGATCAGATCATACTGGCTGAAAAGTCTACGAACTCGCATTGTAACTCGAAGCTCCTGAATTCGAACCCCAGTGGGTAAGAATTTCTGAGGAGACCCAAGCTAGGACGAAACGGTTGTCCGGTACTCTCCTGTGGTTTACAAATGGTTCTCTAAGTGATGTCAACTCGTGATCACACCTGTAAATATATATTTATTCAGTTAATTTAGGCTGAGAGTTTAAAATTTGGAGGCAACTTATTCAGGTTCTTCTGCAATTCAGGCTTTCTTTTCATTTTACTGTGTGTATTTAATGTTCAGGGTAAGTGTTACCATGGGAACCAGTTCCCGCCCGCGTATTAATCTCCTCCTATCATATTATTATTTAACTGGCTTAGCAATGTTAGTTAATGCACTAGTTCAATTGTTATTGTGGGAATTCTATGATATGCATTATGGTGGCAATGGCTGGAAGTTTGTAGAATGCTTGTGAACTGTTAAAGAAGTCTGGATACGATAATGAGAAAATCTTAATTCAACCAGCTAGAACATATATGAGTATTCGAAACCCCATACACTTCCTGTTTGATTATGAAAGATGAGGGTGAAGCAAATAACATCCTGGACAAATTTAACGACGTTCATCCTGCAATCAATTCTACCATTGAGAAAGAAATAGACTCTAGTGTTTCAGTCCTAGACGTCCTAATGGGTAGAAAAGAGGACGGTACAATAAAAAGAAGTGTATGTAGAAAACTTGCATCAACTGGCCAGTATACTCATTTTTCCAGCTTTGTGCCTTTGAAATACAAATGCAATCTAATAAACTGCCTGATTCACAGAGCAACAGCAATCTGCTCTGATGAATGTCCTAATGAAGGACTTAATATTATTAAGCAGTTCCTGAGTGAGAACAGCTACCCAGAAAAATTCATCGATAAGAATATGAATCGAAAGTCAAGGCAAGCCAAAGTACCAAAAGTTCCGTAAAAGATCTTATTCTTACAATATCAGTTCCTCAGGGTTAACACAAGTGGGATATTAAACACAGCGCCTAAGGAGTGCGGTGAAAAGAGCTGTGTCTTCAAAACCACTTCTATTTTACGTTTGGGAGTAGTTAAAGGTAAACTGCTTAATTTCGCCTCTCCTATGTGTATCTACCAATTTCACTGCTCCAGTGGATTGAGATGGTTGGTAACTTAGGCCATACAATTACGCATGTTTTTCGTCGAATCTCCGAACACCATCCTGCATAGTAGTTATGTTAGTCACAAAGGAAATCCATTCATTGCTCTATTCTATCTCATCTCGTGGATACAGAACACAAGAGTGGTGTTAACAAGGTGGCTTTCAAAGTGATCTACCGCATACCAACTAATCCTAACTTTATCTGAAGAGTTCATCTACTACATATTTCTGAGGCTGGCTGTTGGGATCTACATTAAGAAACCTAACTTATGTATCCTAAAGACGTTGGTCAGTTCAGACACTGTCCTTCCCTTAGCCGTCAATCAAGGTTTCAATGATCCTCATTTTGTTGTGGAAATTTCCTTAATTTTATTTGATATTCCATTTAGTAGTACATTTTTCAAGGCTTATTATAATTCATGCATCTTTCTTGAACTGTGGTTATTCTGTTGATCTTACTTAACAATTCGATTGGTATTTAAAAAAGCCAATATTGTTAATGACGATCAGTCTAGAATATTCTATGTATATATAAACATATACGTACATATATAATGGTAGAGTCGGAAAAGGAAATTATCAAGGAGGATATTCTTTGCTAAATATTAAAAAAAAAATATATATGTGACTGCATTTTGTCAGAGTCTACTGAACACCTTGAGCAACAATCTTCGTATGTATGGCATGCGACTCGCCCCTGTAAAATGTAAGATGATTCTGCAGGATTGGGCTTCACCGACCTCTAGATTAGAAATAGGAAGTGAAGTGGTAGAGCACGTTGATTGCTTCACTTACTTGGGAAGTACCATCAGCCCCAACGGGTTGATCTCTGACGAAATCTCAGCACGGATACAGAGGGCTAGTTTCGCATATGCCAGTTTACGCCGTCTCTCGAGTAGACGCGATATCCGACTATAGACAAAAGGGCGGGTGAACTGCTCATCAGTCCGCTCCGTCCTCCTTTATGGCTGTGAGACCTGGCCATTGGGAGCAGAAGACATGAAAAGATTAGCCGTCTTCGATCATAGGTGTCTGCGTTCTATCTCCCGCGTGAAGTGGTATAATAAGGTGAGCAATATTGAGGTTAGGCATCGGTCGAGTGCTAAGTCCGGAAGGGAAATCAATCGACGAGACTGTGAAATTACATCGACTGAGATGGTTAGGACACGTGTTACGTAACGTATGCCTAGTCATCGCCTTCCTCAACAAAGGGTAATATTAGCTGATATAGGGTCAGGCTGGAAAAAAGCTATCGGTGGTCAAACCAAAACATGGCACCAGTCAATGAAATCTACAACAGTTAGTCTAGGCCGGCCACGTATGAAGATGTATACTTCCTGACCGGTTGGGTTCCTCGGGACGGCGGAAATCAATGCTTGGAAACAATTGGTGACGTGGATCAAAATCGTTCTCAATGGCTAGTGCAGATGCATCCACTCCTAGTGACTTATGATTTCCAATGAAACTGTTTTTTTCCTCGTTATTACTATTCGTTTTGTCTCACACCTCTGTTTACTGTCTCTAATATGCATTTCTTCTACTTTCTTCTCTTGTTTTGTGTGCTACAAGGAGGGAGTATGGGGACTTGAACTGCCGCACATATGTGCAAAGTTCTATGTCGAAAACCGACCGACCGACCGCTACTTTTAGAGCTATTTTTAAAGATTGCAACCTTAACTTTCGATCTTCTACTAGACTGATCTGCAATCAAAATCTTTTTTTTAGCGGTATGAAACTTCCCACATGTAATTGCTACTACTGCTGTGGCGAGTAGTACTGATAAGATTTACCAGTAGTATA